CTCCTTTTCTTACTTTACATACTGTTCTATAACGTGACTTTATATGTAAATATACCCACATATATGTGAAAGGATTACAATCTACATACTGTTCTATAGACTCTCCTTTTCTTACTTTACATACTGTTCTATAACGTGACTTTATATGTAAAGCATCTTTTCGTGTCCATGTTTATAGTGTTCTCATTCTTTATAATGACTCCATTGCATTCTCCTTACTGGACATGCTACCCTTTTAGGTTGTTTCTAGTTTTATTACTCCTACATGCTACTGTCAGTTTTTTTGGACATTTTTTACTTATGGTTTTTAAAATTAAAACATGTTTATTTTAGTAATATCAGCAATTCTAAGATCCTAACCCATTTTTATCATCTTTTTTTGTTTCTGTTGTTCCATAGATCTTCAGATCCCTACCTGTTGGCTACAACATTTCAAAACAAGTTCTTGATCAATATCTTACTCTGCTGGCAGATGATCCTGTAAGTCTTCTTTTTTGTTTTCTTTCTTCTGCTTGCTTTGTGATGTATTTCTGCCAGGGAGGCCCAATCGCATTTATGGGTGGCCTCGTTCTCCACCAGCCAGCTCAGGCCTTTTCTCCACCAAACCCGGGTCGTAGGGCAGCCTGTTGAAGACTCTTGGCCACATTTGCTCCTGTGGAAACAGAATCGCTGGGACTTAACCTTCCAGTTAACTAACTCTCTCTCTTCCCCACCCTTTCACAGCTAGAGTTTGTTGGAAAGTCTGGCGACAGTGGTGGAGGAATGTATGTCATCAGTATCCTTACAGTTGTTTCCCTACAATCTGGCAGCCTGAAATAGGAAGCAGAGTCATAACTTATAAAGAAATCAAAAAACTGTATGAAAAAAATACACTGATGATAAGTAAAAAAGACTTTCAGTTAACCAAAATCCTTACTGAATTACGTTATTAACAACCTAGTTAATGAAAGTTCTCAAATACTTAGGTCTCAAAAATAAGAGCAGTATCTCAAGCAAGATCACTTTTAGCATGTCATTACAAATTAAAGACCTAGGACTAAAATTCCGATCACGAGCAGGCCAAAGCGTCACCGAATGACCTTAACCCTCTGCGTGCAGACCTCCACAAGGCCCTGGCATCCCTAGCGACAGCCACGCTGGAGTCCGTTGTGCAGGAGAGGTAAGGGGCCCACCTTGGTTGGTATTGGGGCCAGGCCTTGCCTTTCCAGCCTAATTGGAACGAAGGCTGTGGTCGTTGTGTGAGTAACCACCTTGGCCCACTGGCCCCCCTTTTCCACTAGACGGTTATGGCTCCCGCTGCTGCTACTCCTCACCTTGGAGACCCCACTGTTAGCCAATTACGAATTCTACCCAGTGAACAGCCTCCCAAAAGCCTTGTAAATGCAGAAACGGAAGCATTCAAGTGGGTCAGCAATTGGTGGCTACTTACTGACTCAACCAACCCGATGGAGCTGTGAGAAAGCTTGAATTCTCCAATTGCTGGTCCCCCTGGCCCACCTCTGCACACAAGGAACAAGTGTGGACTGCGTGGCAAAGCTGAGCTGCTCATGTTGCCATGCCCTTGCTTGCTTGATTCCTTTCCAGATTTGGGTCTCGCTGCGCTAGAATATTCCGGCTGGTTTTGCAAAAGAAGCACCTGGAACAGAAGCAGGTAGAAGACTTTGCAATGATTCCAGCAAAGGAGGCAAAGGATATGCTGTATAAGATGCTCTCAGAAAATTTCATTTCACTCCAGGTAACTCGAGGCATAATCACCACCACCCAGCAGAACTGACCTGGAGTGAGAGAGACTCCTGAGGCAAACACCTGAACTCCATCCAAAGTAAATTCTAGATCCCGCTCTCAGGCAGAGACATGATTACCAAGGGCACAGCAAGAATTTGAAGGACCACGGTCGAGCCAAGAAATCCTTCCCCCGGTCACACGGCCCCTTTTCCTTTTCATGTCTGCCCTTCATCAAGCTGTAAATCTGCTATTGATTAAATCTGTCAGCAGCATCTAGTCTGTCCTCCCTGTGTGCAGAGCTTTGTAACTGACACCGTGAGGAAGTAGAATGGGTTCTGGAGTCAGAATAACTGCCTCTGACCCAGAGCAAGTAACCTAGCTCCATTCCCCTCCATAAAATAGTAATGGGTGATAGTAATAGAATCAGGTTGTTATTATTATTATTGGAACACAGAGTTGCTCAGTACGTGTTAGTTGCCTACCCTTGCGTTGCACTCAGAATGCGACAGTCAAATGGGGTGGGGGGAATAGAGTGATCGAACTCCTCATGGGGTTGATTAAGCAGAACTGCTGAAAGATTGAAGAAGTGAAAGAGGTGGCTGAGCACGTAGCAGCTCTGCTTAGGACAGATGTTTGCTTCGCCAGTTCTGAAGAACATTATAGATGGTTTTCTTTTCCTTATTTTTCTTTTTGTGGCTAAATAGGAAATTCCCAAAACGCCTGACCATGCCCCCTCCAGGACCTTCTATTTATATACTGTGAACATCCTATCAGCTGTCCGAATGCTGCTGCACAGATGCTACAAGGTAACGCCCACTGCGCCGTCTGCATCCCCCGTCTGCATCCCCCGCCACACAGACGGGTCTCCCCCACCTCCCTGCCCCTTTGACCTGTTTTACTCCAGCAACTTCAAGAGAACTCCGTGTATTTCTCTCTTCTCGTCCTTCAGAGCATAGCCAACCTGATAGAAAGGAGGCAGTTTGAAACCAAAGAGAACAAGTGAGTAGCATTTGCAGTGCCCTTTATGGTTTTCAAAGGAAATCGTCCTATAAAAATGGAAACTAGTGGGGCGGTGATCCGTTTGGTTGCACCGAGTCACTGGATTGAGTTGACATGCAGCAGGCTTTCCTTTTCCAATGTGCTCCCAGTGAAACAGTTTTGTACATTACATTTGAGCAGTGGACAAACTAACACCGAATGTGGACGTGAAACTGAGAAACAGTAACAGTTTCAGCAGTGAAGTTATACTTCTGGTAAAAGTGTGGAAAAGTCCTTAGACTGTAGCCTTGTCCACTTTGACCAGGAACCCGGTCACAATGGGAGTTATGGTCCTGAGCTAACGGGTTAGGGGTCCTCAGGGGCTGGCCACATGCCTCAGCGAGGTGTCCGGCAGGCGTCTACTGGAGAAGTCTCAGAGAGTCGAAGCCATCATCGCCTCGATGCAGGCCACGGGTGCGGAGGAGGAGCAGCTGCAAGAAATCGAGGAGATGATCACGGCCCCTGAGCGCCAACAGCTGGAGACCCTGAAACGCAACGTCAACAAGTAAGCATCACACGCTTCAGGTCTGTGCTTCACGGGTCTCGATTCATCTCATTATCCTACAGCCTCTGCGACTTGCCATGAGCAACCCACACACACTACCTCCTCCAGTTTAATTAACAGAATATCACCTACCTGAGCTACAAAGCTCTGAAGACGTCCTCAGCTTCTCCCTCACGCCCACACTCTTGTTCACCGCGTCCTGATGATTTTACTTGGGAACGTTTCAAATCTTGCCCTTCGTCGTCGTGGTCCCCATGAGGGCCTTCCTTACCTTTTTGCACGCAAAAAACTGGATCGCTGCCATCGAGTCAATCCTAACTCATAGGGAACACTGTCGACAGAATAGAACGGCCCCTTTGGGTTTCTAAGACTTTAACAGCCGACTAGACCTAGACCTTCGCAAGTACCTCCCTTATCCAAGCATTCTTACAGCACTCCTAGTTACTGTCTTCAAAAACATCAACAGTGCTGCTCTCCTACTCCTGCTCGCCTTGTGCTCTAAAGACCCGGCTGTTTGGCATGACCCTAGACCCCTCACAGTTTCATAGCAGCATCTTTCTTGTGATCTTCATTCCTTTCCCTCTTCAGTGCTCACTCTAATAAGGATTGCCTTAAATCTGTCTAGAGCAAGTTGGGGAGCATTGCTTTCATAACAGCGTTAACTCCGACAGTCCATGAATATGGGCCGTCTTTCCATTTAGGTAAGTGGTCTTTGCTTCCATATGTTTGATAGGTTTCCACATGCAAGTCTGTACTTCTTTGGTAAAATGATTCCTAAGTAATTTATTCTTTTTGATAGCATTTTAGTTTTTGCTTAATCTCATTCTGGGATTATTCATTGCTATTGTATAGAAATATAGTGAATTTTTGACTATTGATCTTGTATATGCAACTTTGCTGAACTCATTTATAAGCTGTATTTGTTTTGTATGTGTGTGTTCCTTAGTATTTTTTTATATATGAGATCATATCGTCTACAAATGGAGTTTTCTTTCTTTCCAACAATCTGGATGCCTTTTATTTCTTCTTGTTTAATAGTGTTGGCTAGACCCTCTAGTATATTATTGGAAAAGTGTAAGAGCAGCGATCCTTGCTTTGTTCCCAACCTTGGGAATGCTTTCAGTCTTGCATCATTCGGTATAATGTTAACTATGGGTTTTTCCTCGATAGCCTTTATCTGGCTGGGCAAGTTCCCTCTATTCCTATTCACCACGCATTTGAAGCCTTCGCCACTCTTGGCTCCTCGCTCTTTAAAACCCTCTAGGTCTTCTTATGCGTGTGCTATTATTCTTTCTCCTGGCTAGAAGTTGCGCTATAACTTCCCCGAGAACAGTGGTTATATCTTTTTAATCCTCGGCAATTTCCATCATGTCTGGCACATCAGAGATGCCCAGTAAATGGGAGAATGGCTTATTGATTTTCCTACTTTTGGATTCCCCCAAGGATAACCCAACAATTCCCCATAGCTGCACTTCCTCCAACGCATAATCTTCCCTACGTGCGTGAATGTTCAGTCCCCCTTCCGCTCTTCCGCCAGGTTGGATGCCAGCGAGATCCAGGTGGACGAGACCATCTTCCCGCTGGAGTCATACATCGAGAGCACGGTGAAGAGACGGTGACCCCGGGGCTGCGTCTCCCTCCAGCGAGCCGGGAGGGCGGAAAAATAAAGATGGGGCCTGGTCGCATCTGGTGGAGGATGCATTCTTGTGCTGAAATGCCTTCCCTGTGCCTGCCCCCAGCAGAAACATGTGACCTATTTTTTTAAGGTTGCAGATCTTCTCTTAGAGCCATCGTTGTATTCTCCCATCATCAAGTACCTGTACAGACACAACCTTAAGTCAACTACGTTAATCACCTGTCAGGGGCGTCCATTCCCACCAAGAAGTCGACCAGGGGTGAACATCGTTGACAGTTAGAAACCTCTCCCTCAGCATGTCACTGCATTTTGTAAAGGCTGTGGTTAGTCTTTATTTGATTGAGCTATAATCTTGACACACACAGATGAGTATGTGGGAACTAACCAAAGACAGAAAGAGGAAGAAACAAGCCAGTTTCCAGCTCGCAGTCTGGGCCTAAGAACTCACACTAAGATGGAGGGAGAGAAGCCACATTCACTGGCTTCCGGCTTATAGTACATCTGAATTTACACATGCAAAACACAATGCCTGTCGTATTGTAAACACTGAGTATTGCTCATCCCCACAGTATTTCAAAAGTGGCAACTCTCCCAACATCAGAAAAAAAAATTGCTGGATCCGACGGCTTCACTAGAGATTTCTACCAAACCT